ATCGGGGCTCCCGGCGCTCGGTCCGATGAGGGAAGCTGGGGCAGGGACCCCGCTGCGGGGCCGGAGGTGTAGGCAGGCGCTCAGATAGATGCTTTCAAGTTGGCGGGCGGTGGGATACAGGGGCTGCGCGCAGCTGCTGAGTGCGCGCCCGGAGCGATTCGGGTCCCTGGTTCCCCCCAAACCTGGTACTCGGTGCGCGGGCAGGGTTGAGCAAGCCGCGAAGCGGAGCACTTTCCTCCGAGAAAGTTGAGGATGGAGCCCTTATTTTCTCACCGTGCCCGCGGTACGATGGTCCTGAGAGTGGCGCCTGAAGCCCCCGGTGTGGAGGAGCTGAGTGGGTCGCGGCGCCCCTGGGCAGAGCTCCTCCACCCCCGGCTGAAATCTAGGAAACACCCAGATCTTCGCTTCCCTGGCGTCGTCTAGGAAAATCATTCCTGCCAAAACAGAGGTAGGCTCCCGGGCGGCACGGCTCCCTGCCTCTAGGGCGCTACCTAGGGCGATGCCCCTTCCCCAACCTCAGAAGTGGCCAAGGGCGCCGGGTTCCCTGTTAGCCCTTGAGGTGGCCGGAATGGAGCTCCACACACATGGTGGGGCAACGTGGCTGGGTAGGTGGCCAGCCTAAGTTTTCCTCCAGCCCTTTCCTAGTTTTAGTGCTGCTGGGTGTGATTTAGCACCCTACCACCCCCTCCGCCCTTCCCCTTTCATCTTCGCAGAGATAAGACCTGGAGGAAGAGGTTGGTGAGTTTGGGTGGACATACTGTTCCTTAAGAGAGGACGCCTGGGTCGTATCTGCCTTGGGCTCAAGCCCCAAGACTAAGAAATCCTCCCCCCTTTCTATTATTCTTCCTCAGGGGCTGGGTGGGAGGTAACAGCGCCCGTGGGCCCACAAGAATGACCACTTCATCCCACCGGTCTCCTAAGATTATGTCCCCGGCGACTCCAGGACCCTGGAAATGGCATTGTGTGTATTGTGAGGGTGTGGAGGATGCTGATGGTTTCTCTTGGCTCCACTTTTTTCACTTCTTGTTTTGAGTTTTGGGGTTTTGCCTGCACGAGTCAGAGCTGTGCTGTCATAACCCGAGGGAATGGGGGTGGAGGAGCTTCAACCAGGCAGTGAGCCCTGTGCGCCTGCTTCTGAGGCTGCTAGTGGGAACTCGTCCAGAAATGATTATGCAGGCTAGAAATATGCCTCTTTTTTGGCCGAACACCTTGGCTGTTGGGTTTGTGTGTTAATTTCTTAAAGGGACACCCACACACTGCTCAAATGACATGTTTTAGGGGCTCCCCATTGGTGCTACCTGTTTTCCTGTGTGTTTTTCCTAGGGGTCATTTGCTCTGGCGCACATTTTCTGATGTGGGAATCCCTGGTGTGGGTACATATGTTATAGAGCCAGAGAGACCGGACGTCAGGCTATAGCTTTACAGGGCATGACTGTGCTGGCAAACTGTTAGCCACTCTAGACTTCAGTTTACTCCTCTGTCAAATGGGGACAATAGTGACCTTATCTCCTTTCATTGCAGGGGACTTGGGTGAGATAATGGACGTGAAAAGTGCTCAGAAAACCTCAAAGCACTATTCATGTCTTACTGTGTTTGTGCCTTTTACTCAGTTTCTTTCTTTCTCTCTCTCTCTCTCTCTTTCTTTCTAAATGAACCACTTCTTTTAATTATAACAAGACATCTAAGTCTTCTCCCCTCTGCCCACTCCTTACGAAGAGATTTAATTGCTAGGGTCTTTTGGAGTAGCTATTTCTCTTCTTTTTTCTCTTCCTGTAAATCCATCTCTTTTGATGCCCCAGTCCTCATATTTATCTGAGGGAAGCATGGTGTAGATGAGGAGACAGGGTGGGATCACCTTGTCAATGTTCAGAGTCCTGGGCCCTGGTTTCAGATCTCAAGTTGATGAACAAGTCAGCAGACTCTAGGCTAGAGCTCTGGCTTGACCTTTAACAGTGACCTTGAACTAAGGACTCAACTCCTCGTTGGGGAAATCAGTCTGTGAGGTTAAGCAATGCTGAGTAGAGGCAAGAACAGGTGAGATTGTCTCTGACACACTTAGTAAGGGTTTCATCAGGCTCCTGACCCCCCAGCCCCCTCTGCATTCCCCAATCCTAGGGCAGTAGTTCTCAAACACGAGCATCAGAGTCACCTAGAGTACACCTATGAGGTGAGAGAAAGTAAGAGAATGAGGTTTGTTCTGGAATGCCATTATTTTAATATCTCACCTATAGAGACAGTGTTTTAGGAACTTGCCTAAACCATTTTGTATTTCCAGTACCTGTGCCTGTTACCATTGTCCTGTTTGAATCATTCTGATTGCTCTTCAAATGAATTATGTTTCACACACACACAAAGATAGGAACTCCCCTCCTTTTTGGACTGTAAAGTATTTAGTCATTGGTTCCTAGGTCAGTCTTTGGTAGACTGAGGTTGATGATCCTGTTATTGATAAATCCAACAACTACCCCATTTCCTTTCTTTGGGAATCTCAGGCATTTGGAAAGAGGAGGTTGCACAAATTTCTGGCAGCTTGAACCTTACATTTGGAGAACTTATGAGCAAGTTTAAAAAGAATTGCAGTGTGGTGTCTTCTCTGAATGGGCAGTTTACCCAGACCTTGGGGCAGGTGTTGTACACACCATGACAGATGTCCTGTGGTGGTCACATCTGGGGAAGGCCTTCCATTCCTTCTGGTAGTAACTGAGTGGCTCTCTCACCCTCCAAGGGGGCAGAAGGCCGAATGTCAGGGGCAACTGTACAGCATTAGTGCTGCTGGGTGTGATTTAGCTTATAAGCAAGCCCTTTTGGGGCACAGCCCAATCTTAAGCTTTTCTCCTTGTCCCTTTAAGCTATGGTCCTGGGCTGAGAGCTGACCATGACCTACGGTGGCCTACATTGTGGCAATGATTTCTAGCTACTTTGTATCAGAGAGGCTTGGATCCTGCTTGAGTCAGGAGGGTTCCTGAGATGACATCCTAAAGCAGGAATAGGTATATGTAGCACCCACACGGACTAGGTGTAAGAGGCGGGTCAACATTTAAACTAGCCTCGTGTTGCTGTGCCAAAAGAAGTGCCAGCTGGCCATCATGCTTTATCTCAGCTTTCCATTTGTTCTTTGTTATAGTTTTAAAATGACTAGCACTAGGAAAACCTGTCAGTAAAGCAGAAACCTATTAAGAAACGCAAGTGTAGCACTTAGTGTTAAAGTAGATAAACTGCAAGACCCAGGCCTGTCTTCCTGCCTATAATCAGCAGTCAGTGAAGAAACAATCTTCGGGTTGTAATTCTTGAGCTTTCCTAGCTAATTTAAACGGTTTTGGCACTTAACATAAGTAGGGAACATTTCTACTTTAAAATTCTTTCCCTTAACTTGATGTTTATATTTTGGGTGCTACGCCTACTTTCCACCACTAGGATTTTTTTTTCCAGTGTAGGGAAAGCTTCTTTCCTTATCACTGTTCTCAGCATGTGACCATATTATATCTTTGCTCCCTTGGATAAATCTGTTTTGAGCCGGTCATTATGATACTTTATTTCTCTTTGGTCATCAGAGCTGTTGTTACTGGGTCATAGAGATTCAAGGCCCATTCCTGGAACACTGTTCCCAGCTTTCCTAGAGGGTGCTTTTTAACTAAAACTTGGGTTGTATTGCACTTGCTCAATTCTAATATACATTTTTTCACACTTCATCATTTTCCAACTTCAGAAATCCAGATGGCTCTTAAAATGATGAACACACAATGTATGGTTTCTTTTTTCTTTTTCCGTAACTTGGCACGTTAATAGACTGACTTCCAATTTTTGGCATTCTAAAACAAAGCATATTTGGTTCTTTACCCCAGTAGAAAATATGATTTCTACTCAGTGCTTTCCAACTGATAGAATCGAACAGCATTTGAATTAGCTCAGCAGTTCCCAGACTATGTCGGAAGAATGATGTTGGGGTGGATGTTAATAGGTGTCCTCTTGTAAAGGGCAGATCAATTTGGAAGCAGTGCCCGTTGTTTTTGCTTCTCTTAGAGACTCTCCACATGTGCACCATCATATCAGAGGTACTGCAGTTAACAGTGTCAGCAACAAAAAACTTGGTTGTATTTATTTAATTAAATGTTTCCCAGAACATTTTGAGGATTTGTGTGTAACTTCTAGGATCCCATTACTGAACTGGCACAATCCAGCAATTGTAGCAAGTGGTTTAATAGCATCTGTGGATGGGGAAATTTCACCTAATATGTCCTTAACGTAAAGAGCATTTGCTAAATAAGGATATTAATTGATTAGTGAACTCTCCAGGTGTTTACTGTTTTTGATTTCAGAGTGGAGAGAAAACACTTTAAGTTGTGGTGGCTAAGAAAGTCTCCATGGAGGGGCTAGAGTAAGAAAACGTTGGAAATGATGGCTGGCACTTTTGTAGAGGAAAAGGGGTGTTTCAGTTTGGTGGTATAATGGAGCAGGAATGTGAAGACCTATATTTGTGTCTGCATATAAATACATTTCAGGGCGCATAAGAAAAGGACCATGCCTAGCACAGAGTGAGGCCCGGTGAATCTGTGGTGGTCTGAGAACCTATTTATTGTTAAGATCTTTTCCTGATTTTGTAAGTTCACTGAAGGAGCAGATGAGTTTGTCCACACAGGAGAGCTAGTTGTGGATAAACAGGAGGGGAGGCACAACACTCAGGTTGAAAACAAGGAGGGATGCATGAGAAAGAAATGAGGAAAAAAGTTGTTCTTAGTCCTTTAGAGGATAGTAGTCCCAGGTACAAAGGAATCTGGTCCAGTTGAATAATTTTGGATATTTGGGAAAAGGATGTTTTGGAAGATCCCCTCAAAGAGGGGTCTTAACTGGAGTTTCAAAAAATAGCAAGAAGCCCTGCTGGTGTGGCTCAATTTTTTTGAGCATTGCCGCATGCACTGAAAGGTTGCCAGTTCCGTTCCCACTTAGGGCACGTATCCAGGTTTCAGGCTTGATCCAGGTGTGTGTGGAAGACAACCAATCGATGTTTCTCTCTCTCTCTCTCTAATGAAAAAATTAAAATAAAAAAATAGCAAGAACAAAGAAGTTTTACAACTGAACAATAAACAAGGAAATAACCCAATTTAAAATGGGCTTAGGACTTAAATAAACACCGCTTCCAAGAAGATATACAAGTGGCCAATAAACGCACGAAAAGATGCTCAACATCATTAGTTATTAGGGAAATACAAATAAAAACTACGGTGAGATAACACTTCACATCCATCATGGTGGCTGTAATAAAAAATATAATAACAAGTGTCGGTGAGGGTGTGAAGAAATCAGAATTTTCATATATTTCATTGTAGATGGGAATGTAAAATTTTACAGCCACTTTGTAAAATAGTAGTTCCTCAAAATGTTAAGCATAGAAGTATCTCATGACCAATTCTACTCCTTGGTATACACCCAAGAAAACAGAGGACATATGTT